TTTGATGAGTTTTGGTGTTCCCGCCTTCTCGGCGTCCCGACGCTGCTAGACGGCCCAACAAGCCCCAAAGACCGCCCCCAACCGGCCCCAGAGGCTCCCAAGAGGGCTCCGAGACAACCCACGAGGGCCCGAAAATGGCCCAACAGGCGCCCAAGACGGCACAAGAGGGCCCCAAGACGGCCCTAAGAGGGACCGAAAATGGCCCAAGAGGGACCGAAAATGGCCCAAGAGGGCTCCGAGACGGCCCAAGAGAGTCCGAAGATGGCCCAACAGGCGCCCAAGACGGCACAAGACGGCCCCAAGACGGCCCTAGGAGGGAGAGCACAGACTTCAAGTCTGAGCCTTCCGCCCCGAGACGCGGCGCCAAGCGGCCCCCAAGAGGCCCCCAAGAGGCCCCAAGAGGGCCCCCAAGAGGCCCGCACGAGGCCCCCGAGAGGCCCCCAAGAGGCCCCAAAAGAATCCCCAGGAGGCCGCCAAACAGCCCCCCGCGAGGCCTCGACGAAGTCCCAGCGACCATCCACTGGGCAGGCACGGTGGCGGGATTGGCCGAAGGCCTCTGGAGGAATCGGGGAAATGCCTTGCGGGTTTGGGGGGGGGCGTCCCCTTGGCACCAATTAGGGGGCCGCATCCGAACCCTACCCCTGCCCCCCACGATTTCTGAGGGGGGGGGGTAGGGGTAGGGATCGCATGCGGCCCCCTAACTCTGCCCCTGCTGTGCGAGAGCAGCGGGGGCTCGCGGGCGCGGCGGTCTGTATCGAGGCTCCGGGAGGGGGGGGGCGCACGCTCCTCGAGCGGGCGGGCGCGGAGCGCACGCTTTGAAACAGCAGGTGCGCGGCTTCACGCGATTGTCGGGAGCGGCCAAGAGGGGCGTGTCCCAGAGGGGGGGGCGCAAATCATGACCGGCGGCATGTGCGCGGCCCAGCGGGGGGGGGGCAGGGACGCAATGAGGTAAGAAGAGGCGCTATACAACATCTGGGGAAATATCATGGCCCCCGCCGTGATATCCACTCCCCCTCCTAGTCATCACCCCCCTCTTTGCCGCCCCCGTGACTGTTGTTCGCGAATTAATTCCGCCTGCCCTGCGCGAGCTCGGCACCGAGGACAACTTACCATCGTAAACGACAACCCTGGGCCCCAGCCCTTTCCAGGAACAATCCTGGGCCCGCGCCCTTCCCGGGAGCAGCCCTCAAGAGGGACTCAAGAGGAGGGACCTCGCAGGGACCTTGGGAGCCCCGCCCCGCAAGATGGCCTCAAGACCCCCGACATGCTCCCAAGAGGCCGCCGAGAAGCCCCAAGAGGGCCCCCCAAAGCCGCAAGTTTTGAACCAACTCCAGAAGGCTGCCCCATGATGCCTCCAAGAAGCGCCCAACATGATCGACCCACGAACCCGGAAATAAATCTAGAAACGCGAGGCATAGCCACGTTCTCAAGACACCTCAGTGGGCGACATGCCATTGCAATGCTGAAGGTCTCGACGCTGATGCCGCGGCGGACCGCGTTGTGCTCTACAGTGTTGTGGAGCAAGACGCCCTTGACATCCGAATCCTGACCGAACTGATCTGGACCTTAAGCTCAAGCTGCCTGGGAGCAAAACTGGCCCAAAGCTGGTTGCAGTCGATACGTGTGAGGCGCTCCATTCAACTCGGGCTCAAAATCCGATTCCATTCCTAAGCGGGACGAGACGACACGGGGCGCAGTGCGCATGGACGCACCAACCAGGGGACGTGTCAGGGGACGTGGCAAGGAACGCGCCACGGAACGGGCAAGGAAAGCGCCAGGGGACAAGCCAAGGAACGCGACAGAGGACGAGCCAAGGGACGCGCCGGGGGGGGAGGGGCATACGCCGAAGCCATGTGTATTCACGCGTGCCCCGCAGTGGGGCGTTACGAACCCACGGGTTGTCGCGCTTGTCCCGCTCTAGGGCGTTTGGAACCCACGTCTTTTCACGCTCGTCCCGCCCTAGGGTGTTAGAAACCCAAGTGTGTTCACACTTGCCCCGCTCTGGGGCGTTAGGCACCCACGTGGTTTCACGTTTGTCCCGCTCTGGGGCGTTAGGGAACTACGTGTTTTCTGTCATGCTTGCCACGCTCTGGGGCGTTATCAGGAACCCTTGCGATGTTCACGCTTGTCCTGCTCTGGGGCGTTCGGATCCCAAGTCTTTTCACGCTCGCCCCGCTTCTGGGCGCAAAGAACACACGTGTTTGGACGCCTGGTATGGGCACGGAAAACATGCAATGCCTTATACTCTCTTTTAAAACATTTAAGAATTGGGATTTGCCTCCTGTAGAGGGACATGCGGCATAACATGCGCGACTTAAGCCTTGCAAGCGCTGCAGAGCAAGCGTTTCGTTCGAGGCCTCAAATATTCGGCAAGCCGGGGCGCGCCATCCTCGAGCGGGCAGGCAACAAGCCAGCACGCATGCCGCAGAGCAAGCACCAGGCCCGAGGCATCCTCGAGAAATCTGCGCGCAGGGCGCGCCGTCCTCACGCGGGCACGCAACAAGCCAAACTTCGGTCACTTGATGAAACATTCTAGGGTCTCCGAACCTCGTTGTTCAGTTGGGATTGGAGGAGGAGGAGGAGGAGGAGGAGGAGGAGGAGGAGGAGCTGTGCAAAACGCTCCGCGCCTGCTTGTTTATATAAACGAAAGCGTGGGTCTGCGGACCCCGTGAGGCAGGGGCTCCGCTGTCGGGGGCACGCTCTCCTCGAGAGCGGGCACGCGCGGAGCGTGCTGCGTTTTAAAGCAGGGTCGGACCGTGCCTCGTTCTGGACCGAACGGGAACCTGCGGGCCCTCCTCGAACTCGGCACTGGGGCCAGTGCACCTGCTCAAAGAGAAACCTGGGCCCAGGCCCTTTCCTGGAAAAAGAAGCCCCGCAACACCCGATGAGGAAGAGAAGGACGAATCAGCATCAACTACACGCAGGCAGCACGGCAGGAAGCGTCACACAACGCACACGCTTGCTGCGTCGGCGGCTAGCAAGGGCAACTGCGCTGGCGGAGGGCTACCTAAACGGGGGGGGGCAACGCACACACTTACACACGAAATCGGAAGCCGCATGTATCCTCTTAAGGGGGTCGGCGGGATGGCGGAAGCACCTCGCTGGCGCCAGACACCTGTAACATCGCGCGTTGGAGCGAGCAGAGATTGGCTCGCAAATGCCTATGGACCGCTGCAACTGTAGACACCTGACGACGGCGCAAGATTATCAAGACTTCTTAGCACGTGGCATCGCGAGACGTCCACTACTTCCGTGTGTCACAGGCGACAAACGAAGTCCAGACAATTCCTGAACCCCTGGATGGACGAGCTCCCAGCGTCCACAGCAAACATATGTATTCGTTCGGCCCCTCCCCCGCCGCTCCAGTGGATTTACATGTCCCGAAGCACGTGGCCCTCTGCCAGGCCTGCCCAGCAGCTGGCGCCGAGATGGCGACACTCGGCTCGCGGCAGTCGTGTACGGACTGGACGTGATTGAAAGCCAATGTGCAGGCGCGGCCGGTGAGTCCGTGCCACTTGCCTGATTGGGTCTTCATTGGGGTGTCTGGGCGTGCCTTGGGTTCTGCGGATGCTCTCTTGGTCCGTCTTGGCACCATCTTGGGCTGTACTTGGGCTCTCTTGGGCCGTCTGGGGCCTCCTAGGACGCTCTCTCTGACTCTTTTGTGTGCGAGCGAGACAGAGAGAGCGATTTGCTTCGTTTGCAACGACGGCAGCTGCTCGCCAATTCAGGTGGCGGGTGAAACTAACGGCGCGTTCCCACAAGCATGCGTATGCGAATGTGACATCCGCACGCGGCGTGAGAGCACTCAAGCGGCCCAGGATACCCCACCAGTCGACATCCCACATCACATCTGGGCCCACAATCCTCATCAGAGTACGGGCCTGAAGGGGCGTGGCGGAGGAGAGGGCAAACGCCTAGAGAAAGTCGCAAGTCTAGTCAAACACGTATCACACATGACACAACTCAGCGAACGAACTGCCCCTGCACAGGACCTCTGCACGGCTGGCTCATCACCTGCTGCTGCGGCTGGCCAAAGACGTACTGCGGCTGGCCGCCGCCGTAGGCGCCGTACGCGGCGGCACCCCCTGCGCCGTCGCCGACGGCCGCGACTACGGCCATCGACATGCCACCACCCATCGACGGCTTGCCCTGCGAGATCATGTGCTGCTGATTCGGTGCAAGTATATTCTGCATCGCAGGGTTGAATGCAGCATAGCCCGCCTTCGTCGCTTACTCAATTTCATGTTGCTACTGTGCCACCATGCAGCCACTCACGGTCAGGAACACGCAATCCACGAAACTCTCGATTTCTTGAAATCCGCCGATCTGGCGTGTGAGCTACAAGGAGCCTCAGCAAGAGCTTCAGCTCTGAACCTAAGCAAGCGCTTCAGCTCTTCTTGGGGGGGGTCGTCAGGGTGGCTCTGCTGGGGAAGGGAGGGAGGGAGGGGGAGTCCTCCATCTGGCGTTTTCTGAATGATTTGCGTATCCCCCAACACGTTTCGGGGGGTACCAGGGACCCCCCCCCAGGACTCTCCCCTTGGAACCTGTCCCGGACCCCCCTGGGGAAGAGGGGGAGGGGGCGGGGGGGGCGGTCCCCCATCTGGCGTTTTCTTGATGATTTGCGCATCCCCAAAATGTTTCGGGGGTCCCAGGGACCCCTCAGATCTAGCCGCTACTACCCCCAGGATTCTCCCCTCGCAACCCTCCCTGGACCCCGCCTGGGACCGCTCCAGGCCCACCCCCCCAGAGCGCACGTCAGCTCTAAAAAGTGTCCCTGACGACTCCAAGAGCGCCCTCCCTCCCAAACAGGAGGCGCAGGAGGCAGAGGAGGAGGAGGAGGCGGAGGAGGAGCAGGAGGAGGAGGAGGAGGAGGAGGAGGAGGAGGAAGAGGGCGTGGGAGAGAGGCGTGAAAGGAGGAGGGTGTATGAGGAAGATGAGAAGGAGCACCAAATACGGAGCCTCCCGGATCGGCGGCACTGGCCGGAGGCCATCACAATGCATCACGCCCCACGCAGCGAGAAGGAGGCACACGGTCCAGGAGGCGAGGCACATGGCAAAAACAGCACCCCATCGCAGCGGCAAGCGCTCTGCCTGTCAGGGCGGGTCTGAAGGAGGAGCCTGCTCGCACAGGTGGCGCAACCGTGGCAGCAGAAAGCCTCGCCCACATGCAGCTCTGATCCTGCGGCTCGCCAGGGGGGGCCGCACGGGAACATGCCGTCGCGGCACACGTGGGGCTCGCCGAGGACTTCCGAGATGTCGCTGCGCTGCCGGCCCGCCGTGCAGCAGCTGTAGCAGCACCCTGCAAGGCTTATATCGGGCGTGTCCTCCTACATGCGGATTTTGGGCGAGAAATTAGCCTGGCGAAGGACCCAACCGTATGCAGTTGTGAGTACCGTCTTTGTGAGCAACGCATTCGGTGGAGCTCCCTGTGGGGCCACGAAGCGCTGTGCTGGGAGTGGCGGACGCATGCGCCCATCTCCACCGGGGCCTTCGGTGGAGCTCCCTATGGGGGCACGAAGCGCTGTGCTGGGTGTGGCGGACGCCTGCGCCACCCCCACTGGGACCTTCGGTGGAGCTCCCTTTGGGGCCACGAAACGCCGTGCTGGGTGTGGCGGACGCATGCGCCCCCCTCCACTGGGGCCTTCGGTGGAGCTCCCTATGGGGCCACGAAGCGCCGTGCTGGGTGTGGCGGACGCATGCCCCCCCCCCCCACTGGGGCCTTCGGTGGAGCTCCCTATGGGACCACGAAGCGCTGTGCTGGGTGTGGCGGACGCACGCGGGCTGTGCCACTGGGACCTTCGGTGGAGCTCCCCATGGGGCTACGAAACGTGTGAGAGGTGTGCCGAGAGCAAAGGCAAGGAGGGGGAGGAGGGAGGAGGGGGAGGAGGGAGGAGGGAGAGGAGGAGGAGGGAGAAGGAGGGAGGAGGAGGGAGGAGGAGGCGGGAACGCGGGACGCCGTCTCTTCAAAACGAGGACCCAACACCACAGGATGGTTGGGAATAAAAACATGATCGACCCACGAACTTGGAAAGGGACATGGACATGTGAGGCATGGCAACGTTTTCAAGACACCTGATCGGGCGCCTGGCAATTGCAATGCTCAACGTATCGATCTTGGTGTATCGTGCCCAGGGCTGAGCTGTGCTGTGTCGTGCTCAACTGCGATGTGCCATGCCGCGATTGTGCTCTATAGCGTTGCGGATCGAGTCCGCCTTGGCATTCGAGTCCTGACCGAACTGATCTGGATCTTAAGCTCGCTCTGCCTGAGCACATAGTAGCCGCCCCAGAGCTAGTTGAAGTGGAAAAGTGGAGGACGTTCAATCAACTCGACCTCAAAATCCGACTCAGCTCCGAAAAATAACGGCATGACACGGGGCACAGACTCACGGACGCGCCACAGAGTGTGCCAGGGGCACAATAGGGGATGCGCCAGGCAGGGGACGCGTCAGGGGACGCATCAGGGGACGCGCCCTGGACGTGTCAGGGACCTGCCACGGGACGTGCCAAAGCGCGTGCCATGGGGTGGCCAGAGGACGTCATGCCAAGGGACGTTGCAAGGGGCCCGCCACGAATCGGGCAGGGGAAACGCCTGGGGACGAGCAAAGCCACGCACCAGAGGACGAGCCATGGAACGCGCCACGCCGAGAGGCGTGTTAGGGGACGTGCCAGGGCACGTCACGCCTGAACGTCGCAAGGGACGCGCCAGGTGGCACGCCAGGGCGCCAGGGGACGCCCCACGGACGGGCGGGGTTGGACTGCGACGCACTCTACTGCGACAAGCGTTTCGCTCGAGACATCCTCCACCAAATCATCATGTTAGACATCCGCCTGGGCGACCTGGACACGAGAACCCAAGCGTCTCGCTCGAGACGTTCTCAACACATCCTCATGCTAGACGCATGCCTGAGCGACCTGGGCACGTGAAACCAAGCGTCTCGCTCAACACATCCTCAACACATCCTCATGCTAAACATCCGCCTGGGCGACCTGGACACGTGAAAGCAAGCGTCTCTCTCTCTCTCTCGAGAGAGAGAGAGAGAGAGAGGGAGAGACATCCTCAACACATCCTCATGTTAGACGTCCGCCTGGGCGACCTGGACACGAGAACCCAAGCGTCTCGCTCGAGACGTTCTCAACACATCCTCATGCTAGACGCATCTGGACTCTCGAAAACAAGCGTCTCTCGAGAGAGAGAGACATCCTCAACACATCCTCGTGCTAGACATCTGCCTGGACGATCTGAACGCGTAAAAGCAAGCGTATCTCTCAACACATCTTCAACAAATCCCGATGTTAGACATCTGCCTGGGCAACCTGGAGGCGTGGAACCAAGCGTCTCGCTGGAGACATCCTGAAGACCTGGGCATGTGAAAGCAAGCATTTCACACGAGACATCCTTTGAATTCTGGTCCCCACCAAATTCTGCAAAACAAGCGTTTCGTTCGAGACATACACAGCAAACGTAAATGCATACTTTACCCCTGTCTGATCGTTCGAAATTTTCGCTCTGGACATCCTCAAATTTTAATTCGCCGGCCCACCTCGACCTTGTTCTTTATCGCAAATTAAATTCACTGGCCCACTTCAAGTCGAGGCCGGGGGGAAACAGCTAAAAGAGAACCCTGGGCCTGAGCCCTTTCCGGGAAATAACCAAACATGATCGACCCACGAACCCAGAAAGGAATACAGAAATATAAGGTATGGCAACGTTTCAAAGACACCTAATTGGGCGACGGGCAAATACAATGCTGGATGTATCGATCTTGATGTACTGTGCCGAGGGCTGTGCTGTGCTACGCCGTGCTGAACTGCGATGTGCCATGCCGCGATTGTGCTCTGTATAGCATTGTGAATCGAGCCCTCCCTGGCATCCGAGTCCTGACCGAACTGATCTGGAACTTAAGCTCGAGCTGCCTGAGCAGATGATAGCTGCCCCAGAACCAATCGACAGGGGGACATGCCAGGAGGACGCGCCGCGGAACCTCCCAAGGGACGCGCCAGGCGACGTGCCAGGGGACGTGCCATGGGCACGCACCGCGGGGCGTGCCAAGGGGACGCGCTACGGAACGTGTCAATGGACGTGCACCGCGCGACGTGCCAGGGGGACTTGCCACGGGACGCTCCGCGGAACGTGCCAGGCAACATGTCAGGCTGCAATGCTAAAAGTATCGATATTGATGTACCGTGCCGAGGGCTGTGCTGTGCCTGGGCGACCTGGACACGTGAAAACACGCGTTTCGCTCAAGACGTTCTCAGCACATCCTCATGCTGGACATCCGCCTGGGCAACCTGGACACGTGCAAGCACGCGTCTCGATCGAGACTTCCTCGACACATCCTCATGCTAGACATCCGCCTGGGCGACCTGGACACGTGAAAACAAGCCTCTGGTACGAGACATCCTCAACAAATCCTCATGCTAGACATCTGTTTGGGCAACCTTGAGGCGTGAAACCAAGCGTCTCGCTCGAGACATCCTGAAGACCTGGGCACTTGGAAACAAGCATTCACTTGAGAGATCATCTGAATTCAGGTCCCCAGAAGAGGACAAGCAATAACACAAAACAAACGTTTCGCTCGAGACATCCTCACCAACTTCTGAACATGATCGACCCACGAACCCGGAAACTAATATATATATATATATATATGTATAAAATGTAAGGCATGGCAACGTTTCAGAGACACCTGATTGGGCGACGGGCACATGCAATGCTGAAGGTATCGATATTGATGTACTGTGCCGAGGGCTGTGCTGTGCTACGCCGTGCTGAACTGCGATGCGCCATGCCGCGATTGTGCTCTGTATAGCATTGTGGATCGAGTCCTCCCTGGCATCCGAGTCCTGAAAGAACTGATCTGGAACTTCAGCTCGAGCTGCCTGAGCAGATGGCAGCTGCCCCAGAACCAATCGACAGAAGGGACATGCCAGGAGGACGCGCCGCGGAACGTCCCAAGGGACGCGCCAGGCGACGTGCCAGGGGACGTACGTGCCATGGGCACGCACCGCGGGACGTGCCAAGGGGACGCGCTACGGAACGTGTCAATGGACGTGCCGCGGGACGTGCCAGGGGACACGCCGCGCGACGTGCCAGGTGGACTAGCCAAGGAACGCGCCAAGGAACGTGCCAAGATGCAATGTTGAATGTATCGATCTTGATGTACCTTATAGACGGCTGCGCTGTGCTGGCCGTGCTGAACTGCGATGTGCCATGCCGCGATTGTGCTCTATATAGCGTGGTGGATCGAGTCCTCCCTGGCATCCGAGTCCTGACCGAACTGATCTGGAACTTAAGCTCGAGCTGCCTGAGCAGATGATAGCTGCCCCAGAACCAATCGACAGGGGGACATGCCAGGAGGACGCGCCGCGGAACGTCCCAAGGGACGCCGCCAGGCGACGTGCCAGGGGACGTGCCATGGGCACGCACCGCGGGACGTGCCAAGGGGACGCGCTACGGAACGTGCCAATGGACGTGCACCGCGCGACGTGCCAGGGGGACTTGCCACGGGACGCTCCGCGGAACGTGCCAGGCAACATGCCAGACTGCAATGCTAAAAGTATCGATATTGATGTACCGTGCCGAGGGCTGTGCTGTGCCTGGGCGACCTGGACACGTGAAAACACGCGTTTCGCTCAAGACATTCTCAGCACATCCTCATGCTGGACATCCGCTTGGGCAACCTGGACACGTGCAAACAAGCGTCTCGATCGAGACTTCCTCGACACATCCTCATGCTAGACATCCGCCTGGGCGACCTGGACACGTGAAAACAAGCCTCTGGTTCGAGACATCCTCAACAAATCCTCATGCTAGACATCTGTTTGGGCAACCTTGAGGCGTGAAACCAAGCGTCTCGCTCGAGACATCCTGAAGACCTGGGCACTTGAAAACAAGCATTCACTTGAGAGATCATCTGAATTCAGGTCCCCAGAAGAGGACAAGCTATAACACAAAACAAGCGTTTCGCTCGAGACATCCTCACCAACGTCTGAACATGATCGACCCACGAACACGGGCACTAATCTATAAATGTAAGACATGGCAACGTTTCAAAGACACCTGATTGGGCGACGGGCACATGCAATGCTGAAGGTATCGATATTGATGTACTGTGCCGAGGGCTGTGCTGTGCTACGCCGTGCTGAACTGCGATGCGCCATGCCGCGATTGTGCTCTGTATAGCGTTGTGGATCGAGTCCTCCCTGGCATCCGAGTCCTGACCGAACTGATCTGGATCGTAAGTTCGAGCTGCCTGAGCAGATGGTAGCTACCCCGGAACCAATCGACAGAGGGGACATGCCAGGAGGACGCGCCGCGGAACGTCCCAAGGGACGCGACAAGCGACGTGCACAGAGACGTGCCATGGGCACGCACCGCGGGACGTGCCAAGGGAACGCGCTACGGAACGTGCCAATGGACGTGCCGCGGGACGTGCCAGGGGACACGCCGCGCGACGTGCCAGGTGGGCTCGCCACGGAACGCGCCAAGGAACGTGCCAAGGTGCAATGTTGAGTGTATCGATCTTCATGTACCGTGCCGACGGCTGTGCTGTGCTGCGCCGTGCTGAACTGCGATGTGCCATGCCGCGATTGTGCTCTGTATAGCGTGATGGATCGAGTCCTCTTTGCATCCGAGTCCTGACCGAACTGATCTGGATCTTAAGCTTGAGCTGCCTGAGCAGATGATAGCTGCCCCAGAACCAATCGACAGGGGGACATGCCAGGAGGACGCGCCGCGGAACTTCCCAAGGGACGCGCCAGGCGACGTGCCAGGGGACGTGCCATGGGCACGCACCGCGGGACCCAAGGGGACGCGCTACGGAACGTGCCAATGGACGTGCACCGCGCGACGTGCCAGGGGGACTCGCCACGGGACGCTCCGCGGAACGTGCCAGGCAACACGCCAGGCTGCAATGCTAAAGGTATCGATATTGATGTACCGTGCCGAGGGCTGTGCTGTGCCTGGGCGACCTGGACACGTGAAAACACGCGTTTCGCTCAAGACATTCTCAGCACATCCTCATGCTGGACATCCGCTTGAGCAACCTGGACACGTGCAAACAAGCGTCTCGATCGAGACTTCCTCGACACATCCTCATGCTAGACATCCGCCTGGGCGACCTGGACACGTGAAAACAAGCCTCTGGTTCGAGACATTCTCAACAAATCATCATGCTAGACATCTGTCTGGACAACCTGCAGGCGTGAAACCAATCGTCTCGCTCGAGACATCCTGACTGGGCACATGAAAACAAGCTTTTCACTTGAGAGATCATCTGAATTCAGGTCCCCAGGATAGAACAATATATAACACAAAACAAGCGTTTCGCTCGAGGCATCCTCAACACATTCTGAAAAACAAGTGTTTCCCTTGAGACATCCTCAAATTTTAATTCGCCGGCCCACCTCGACCTCAATATTTATCGCAAAAGAAATTCGCCGGCCCACCTCAAGTCAAACCCAGGGGTAAATCCACTAAAAGAGAATCCTGGGCTTAAGCCCTTTCCAGGAAAAACAAGCGTTTCGCTCGAGACAACCTCAAACCTAATTCCGCCGGCCTCCTTTAAACTCGTCATTTATCGCAAAATAATTCCGCCGGCCTCCTTCAAGTCGATTCCGAGGGTAAAGAGCTAAAAGAGAACCCTGGGCCCCCGCCCTTTCCGGGAAAAATTAGCCTGACGAAAGACCCAACCATACGTAGTTGTGAATACCGCAATTGTGGATATATTCTTCGGTGGCGCCCCCGGGCCACGAAACGAGTGAGGGGTGTGCCGAAATGGGGGGGGTGGAACCGCATGCGAGCGCAGCCACTGGGGCGCTCGGTGGAGCTCCCTATGGAGCCACGAAACGTGTGAGGGGTGTGCCAGAATGGGGGGTGGAACCGCATGCGGGCGCAGCCACTGGGGCCTTCGGTGGAGCTCCCTATGGGGCCACGAAACGTGTGAGGGGTATGCCAGAATGGGGGGTGGAACCGCATGCGGGCGCAGCCACTGGGGCCTTCGGTGGAGCTCCCTATGGGGCCACGAAACGTGTGAGGGGTGTGCCAGAATGGGGGGTGGAACCGCATGCGGGCGCAGCCACTGGGGCCTTCGGTGGAGCTCCCTATGGGGCCACGAAACGTGTGAGGGGTGTGCCAGAATGGGGGGTGGAACCGCATGCGGGCGCAGCCACTGGGGCCTTCGGTGGAGCTCCCTATGGGGCCACGAAACGTGTGAGGGGTGTGCCAGAATGGGGGGTGGAACCGCATGCGGGCGCAGCCACTGGGGCCTTCGGTGGAGCTCCCTATGGGGCCACGAAACGTGTGAGGGGTGTGCCAGAATGGGGGGTGGAACCGCATGCGGGCGCAGCCACTGGGGCCTTCGGTGGAGCTCCCTATGGGGCCACGAAACGTGTGAGGGGTGTGCCAGAATGGGGGGTGGAACCGCATGCGGGCGCAGCCACTGGGGCCTTCGGTGGAGCTCCCTATGGGGCCACGAAACGTGTGAGGGGTGTGCCAGAATGGGGGGTGGAACCGCATGCGGGCGCAGCCACTGGGGCCTTCGGTGGAGCTCCCTATGGGGCCACGAACGTGTGAGGGGTGTGCCAGAATGGGGGGTGGAACCGCATGCGGGCGCAGCCACTGGGGCCTTCGGTGGAGCTCCCTATGGGGCCACGAAACGTGTGAGGGGTGTGCCAGAATGGGGGGTGGAACCGCATGCGGGCGCAGCCACTGGGGCCTTCGGTGGAGCTCCCTATGGGGCCACGAAACGTGTGAGGGGTGTGCCAGAATGGGGGGTGGAACCGCATGCGGGCGCAGCCACTGGGGCCTTCGGTGGAGCTCCCTATGGGGCCACGAAACGTGTGAGGGGTGTGCCAGAATGGGGGGTGGAACCGCATGCGGGCGCAGCCACTGGGGCCTTCGGTGGAGCTCCCTATGGGGCCACGAAACGTGTGAGGGGTGTGCCAGAATGGGGGGTGGAACCGCATGCGGGCGCAGCCACTGGGGCCTTCGGTGGAGCTCCCTATGGGGCCACGAAACGTGTGAGGGGTGTGCCAGAATGGGGGTGGAACCGCATGCGGGCGCAGCCACTGGGGCCTTCGGTGGAGCTCCCTATGGGGCCACGAAACGTGTGAGGGGTGTGCCAGAATGGGGGGTGGAACCGCATGCGGGCGCAGCCACTGGGGCCTTCGGTGGAGCTCCCTATGGGGCCACGAAACGTGTGAGGGGTGTGCCAGAATGGGGGGTGGAACCGCATGCGGGCGCAACCACTGGGGCCTTCGGTGGAGCTCCTTATGGGGCCACGAAACGTGTGAGGGGTGTGTGCCAGAAGGGAGGGGGAGGAGGGAGGAGGAAGGAGAGGAGGAGGAAGGAGGAAGGAGGAAGGAGGAAGGAGGAAGGAACGCGGGGACCGTCTCTTCAAAACGAGGACCCAACAACACAGGTTGGTTGGGAATTGCCAACAAATATTCAGAACTAGTCGAAACATCGTCACCAGACTATTTTTTGAATATTCCTCCTGTGGAGGGACACGTCCGACTTAATGCAAGGCGCCAGTGCGGGGCCTTGATGGACGCCTCGAACAAGCCGATCTGCCACTGCCCCGTCAGCTGCTCTGACCTCCTGCTTGATCGGCATGGCCTCCTGCTCCCGGGGCCTCCTGCGAGTCGGGCGAGGCTGCGAGCGCCGCCGCGCGCGCGGGGAGTGGCTTGGAATCTTGAGCACTTTGCTGGGTTGCGACCTCCTGGGGCGCTCCTGGAAGCATCTCGGGGCCCTCTGTAGCGCTCTCGGGTGCTCTTTGGCTCCTCTGGGGAGCCTTTTGAGGCTCTGCTTGGTGATGTTGAGGCCCTCGAAGGGCGGTTCCTGGACGACGTTGGTTCAGACCTCCCTCCGGAGGCGGCCCCCCCTCCCTCCGTCCCTACACCCCTCTGTATACGCACCTCGCCGGCAGAGCTGCCCTGTCTCCTCAGAGCTGATCTGCGACACGAGGCTTTGCTCTGTGTCTCTCCTGCCCCGCTGGGCCAGCTCATGCTCGTGGTACTCTTCCTCCTGCTGCCGCGCCTCCTGCTGCAAAACGCTTCTTCTCCTCCTGAGCCAGGCAACGCTTGACCTGTCGAGCTCCCATCTCGCGCCGCTGTCACATCTCCATGCGTGACCCCCCCCTACCCGTACGAGGCGTCGAAGGCGTAGCCGCCGAGGACAGAGACGCGACCAGGTCGGTAATGGCCGAGTCGGGCACCTGCAACACTCGCCATCGCTCGGACGTCCATTCCCTGTGTTTTTTTTCGGTATCGTGCGTGGTTTTTTCGCCAAATGATCAAGGATGCTCCTCGATGGTCCCCGCCGAAAGAAAAATGCACACGTCCGAGCGATGCCAAGAACAATTGCCGGGTGATCCAATCGCATGCTCAAGCTCCCGGCTCGACGGCGCGCGCCCTGGCTCCCGACGCCGCAGGGACCTCTCGATCTCGAGGCGTCTCCACTCTCGCAGGCCCCAAGAGTGAGAGGGGAACGATGGGGCGAGACTTGTTCAGGAGGAGGAGGAGGAGGAGGAGGAGGAGGAGGAGGAGGAGGAGGAGGAGGAGCTAGGAGGACCATTTGGACCATTTGACCAAGCACAGTCGTGCGGGGGGAAGGAGAGGGAGAGGAAGGCAGGACCCCGTACAGGAGGAGTCAGGAGGAGGAGGAGGAGGAGGAGGAGGAGGAGGAGGAGGAGGAGGAGGACATGGAGGAGGAGGAAGACGAGGAGGAAGAGCAGGAGGAGGAAGGTCCAAGAGTAAGAGGCAACGCTGGGGCGAGACCGACGTCGAGTCGGAGGTCAGGAGAGCGCCGAGGAGGAGGGCGCGCGCTGGCACCCGGCACCGCGCGCCGCGCCCAGGTCGAGGGAGGAGGGGGGAGGAGGAGGAGAGGAGGAGGAGGAGGAGGAGGAGGAGGTGGAGTGAGAGGAGGAGGAGGAGGAGGAGGAAGCCGAGGAGGAGGAGGAGGAGGAGGAGGAGGAGGAGGAGGAGGACATGGAGGAGGAGGAAGACGAGGAGGAAGAGCAGGAGGAGGAGGAGGTCCCAAGAGTAAGAGGCAACGCTGGGGCGAGACCGACGTCGAGTCGGAGGTCAAGGAGAGCGCCGAGGAGGAGGGCGCGCGCTGGCACCCGCGCCCCGCCGCGCCGCGCCCAGGTCGAGGGAGGGGGGGGAGGAGGAGGAGGAGGAGGAGGAGGAGGAGGAAGGAGGAGGAGGAGGAGGAGGAGGGAGGAGGAGGAGGAGAGGAGGAGGAGGAGGAGGAGAGGAGGAGGAGGAGGAGGAGGAGGAGGAGGAGGAGGAGGGAGGAGGAGGAGGTGGAGGAGGAGGAGGAGGAGGAGGAGGAGGAGGGGGAGGAGGAGGAGGAGGAGGAGGAGGAGGAGGAGGAGGAGGAGGAGGAGGAGGGAGGAGGAGGAGCTAGGAGGAGGAGAAGGAGGAGGAGGAGGAGAACGTTGACTTGGAATCGGCGATGCATCGCTGATGGATCGGCGATGGGCTCTCGACAGCGAAGCCGCACGCTCCTGGGCAGCCTGGGGCGCCCCGGCACCGACTCGTGATGCGTGGGCGATCGGGCTCGGTGCCTCAACCTCTGGGTTTCTGTTGCTCCCTTCGTACTTGAGGACCACATCCCCCAACACAAATTCGAGCACCCTGGCAAGTATCGAAACATTGGCGACCCCCTGCTCGCCTCACTCTCCTCCCATTCATTCCCCCCGTGCTCCTACTCCTCCTCATCCACCTCTTCCTCCTGTCCCCCTCTTCATCTTCCTCCCCATGCTCCGCGCCCTCCTCCCCAACCTCAGGGTCGGCGGCACCGGCCGTAAGGCCTTCGCAATAGTTTCGAAACAATGTCGAACAGTGTCGAACGAGTATCGCCTCCCAGGGCTTGACACGTGAAAGCCCTAAGGTGTCGGTACTTCCCCGGTGCTCGAGAACTCTTTCTGGTGATCAAGGCGAAAGTAGGCTGCAACATCATGACTCTGGGCCAGCTCCCCCCCGTTGTTCCCACTGGGAGGAGGAGGCGGAGGCGGAGGAGGAGGGAGTGGGGGGAGGAGGAGGAGGAGGAGGAGGAGGAGGAGGAGGAGGAGGAGGAGGAGGAGGAGGAGGAGGAGGAGGAGGAGGACCAGCTCCCCCCCCGTTGTTCCCACTGGGAGCGGGGCAGCCAAAAAGGTACCGATGCCGCCGCTCCCCGGACCTCGCCTGGGGTGCGTTCTGACAAGGAGTTCGAGGCGAATCCAACAGTGGCGACGAGGGCCTCCCGGGAGGCCAGAACCGTATGGGCAACTTGTCCTTCTCCGAGCAGCAGGCCTTCGACCCCACCTTTCGCATGGACGACTATTCGAGGGCACTCTCCCCCAGGGTGCACGAGAACATCCAACGACACACGAAGAACGTGAGGGCACCCTCCCCGAGCCGACCTCGATCTTATACCTCGGCCCGACCGTCCGCCGCCGTCAGCAGAGATCACGACTGGAGCCCTCGGCCCCGCCTCTGCGCGAGCGTTGTCGAGCTGGGCCGACCGGCGAGGGACCCCAGGCCACAAGATGGAGTGGAGGGCCCGTCCGCGGTTTGCGATCTCTGAGACGCGCAGAACTCAAGGGAAGGAGAACCAAAATCCAACGGGCTTCTAGTTTTGTGCCCTGGACCCCATGTTCAAGGGGATTCTGCGAGGACCCCCAGTCAAGAGGAGGCGGAAGTCCCCGGACGTCTCTGGGTGTGCCCCCCCAGGAGGCCACTGGAGCTCCGACAAGCTGTTCAGCCAATGTCACAGAACATCGATGAGGAGCAAGAGCGCGCCGCTCTAACCGGGCCCCCCGAACGACAGCACGCGCTGCCGCTGGACACAGGCATCGCTGCACTCTTCACCTGCTCCCCGCCTCTCCCTCGCAGTGCGGCGGCTTGCCGTCGTCCGGCCCTCTCGGCCGCATGCTGCACGCTGGTGCTACGACGCCGCAGCCAAACTCGAGGCAACTTCCACGTGGCGTCGAGGTCCACCCCTCCTCCTCCTCCTCCCCCTCCTCCTCCTCCTCCTCCTCCTCCTCCTCCTCGCATCCTATCTAATCGTCCCCTACCCCCTCCTCTCCTCCTCCTCCTCCTCCTCCTCCTCCTCCTCCCTCCTTCCTCCCCTCCCTTCCTCCTCTTCTCCCATAACCCCCTTCCTCTCCTCCTCCTCCTCCTCCTCCTCCTCCTCCTCCTCACATGCTCCTCCTCCTCCTCCTCCTTCTCCTCCTCCTCCTCCTCCTCCGCCTCCGTCCCCCCGGGAGGGGGGGGGGAGGCAGCGCACCCTCCAGTCTTTCTTGGGGCTGACCGCCTGCGCGGCGCCGGCGTCCGCGGCGCCCTCCGCCCTGGCGAAAGGGCGGGCGCGGCGCGGCCCTCCCTCGCGGCGTCGCGTGCGCCCTGCCCGGCCGCGTCCGGATGTCACGGAAGGGGCCCCAGGGCACGCAAATAACTACACACAAATAAAATGAGGCACCATATGTTCCTACATTTTCTGGGTCCTTGTCTTCCAGCCCACCTCCCAATAGTTTCCCATATGTTCCTGGGAATCGACGATTCATTGTGTCTGTGTGTTTTTTTCCCCTCCTGACTCACGTCCTCCCCGCTCGGCGGCGGCAGGAAAAGGGCCACACGATGAAGATGCGAGATGCAGACGCCACCCTCTCTCGGGGGCGCGCAAGCATGGATTGGCGATCCATGGATCTGGCGCGCGGTCGCCGAATCCGTGGATCGGGGGAGGTGCCCTCCCCCAAATGCGGCAGGTGCCGCCTCGCTCGGCGGCGGGAATCTGCGATTTCCCACGGAAACGGGACCCGTCACTAATCCACGCCCCCTTGATCCATGTTTGCGATCGCCTGACTCTCGCTCCTTGCACCCAGACGTTTTTCTGCCTGGGGGGTTGGGAATGGGCAATGTCGGCCACGCGGCCAGGACGGAGAACATGATCGACCCACGAACCCGGAAGGGAATATAGAAATGTAAGGCATGGTAATGTTTCAAAGACACCTGATTGGGCGACGGGCAAATGCAATGCTCAATGTATCGATCTTGTGCCGAGGGCTGTGCTTGTATCGATCTTGATGTACTGTGCCGAGGGCTGTGCTGCTGTGCTACGCCGTGCTGAACTGCGATGTGCCATGCCGCGATTGTGCTCTATATAGTGTTGTGGATCGAGTCCTCCTTTGCATCCGAGTCCTGACCGGACTGATCTGGATCCTAAGCTCGAGCTGCCTGAGCAGATGGTAGCTGCCCCAGAACTAATCGACAGAGGGGACATGCCAGGAGGATGCGCCGCGGAACGTCCCAAGGGACGCGCCAAGCGACGTGCCAGGAGACGTGCCACGGGGACGCACCGCGGGACGTGCCAATGGACGTGCCCCGGGACGTGCCAAGGGACGCGCCGCGCGACGTGCCAGGTGGACTCGCCACGGAACGCGCCCAGGTGCAATGTTGAGTGTATCGATCTTGATGTACCGTGCCGACGGCTGTGCTGTGCTGGCGCTGAACAGCGATGTGCCATGCCGCGATTGTGCTCTATATAGCGAAGTGGATCGAATCCCCTTTGCATCCGAGACCTGACCGATCTGATCTGGGTCGTAAGCTCGAGCTGCCTGAGCACATAGTAGCTGCCCTAGAGCTGATTGGCAGGGGGATATACCAGGAGGACGCGCCGCGGAACGTCCCAAGGGAAGCGCCAGGCGACGTGCCAGGGGACGTGCCATGGGCACGCACTGCGGGACCTGCCAAGGGGACGCGCTACGGAGCGTGCCAATGGACGTGCACCGCGCGACGTGCCAGGGGGACTCGCCACGGGACGCTCCGCGGAACGTGCCAGGCAACATGACAGGCTGCAATGCTAAGGGTATTGATATTGATGTACCGTGCCGAGGGCTGTGCTGTGCCTGGGCGACCTGGACACGTGAAAACACGCGTTTCGCTCAAGACGTTCTCAACACATCCTCATGCTAGACATCCGCCTGGGCAACCTGGACACGTGCAAACAAGCGTCTCGATCGAGACTTCCTCGACACATCCTCATGCTATACATCCGCCTGGGCGACCTGGACACGTGAAAACAAGCCTCTGGTTCGAGACATCCTCAACAAATCCTCATGCTAGACATCTGTCTGGGCAACCTGGAGGCGTGAAACCAAGCGTCTCGCTCGAGACATCAACAAGACCTGGGCATGTGAAAACAAGCATTTCACTTGAGAGATCCTCTGAATTCAGGTCCCCAGGAGAGGACAATCTATAACACAACATGATGGACCCACGAACCCGGAAAGGGATATAGACATGTGCAGCATGGTCACGTTTTCACGATATCCAACTGGGCGACACCTCACGAAACATCCCACGAGACACCCCGCGAAACATCCCAGGAGACACCTCACGAAACATTCCACGAGACACCTCACGAAACATTCCACGAGACACCCTTTGAAACATTCCACGAGACACCCCACGAACAGGCAACCACTCAACCAGACACGCCACGAAACATTCCACGGGGGTGCGACTGGGTGTGGTCGTGCTGGGGTGTGGTCGTGCTGGAGTATGGTCGTCCGCTGGGGTGTGGTCGTGCTGGGGTGTGGTCGGCTGGGGGTGGTCGTGTGGGGGGTGGTCGGCTAGGTTCGGGGTGGTCGTGCTGGGGGGTGGTCGTGCTGGGGGGGTCGTCGTGCTGGGGGGTGGTCGTGCTGGGGCGTGGTCGTGCTGGGGCGTGGTCGTGCTGGGGCGTGGTCGTGCTGGGGTTGTGGTCGTGCTGTGGTGAGGTCGTGCTGGGGTGTGGTCGTGCTGGGGTGTGGTCTTGCTGGGGTAGGGTCGTGCTGGGGTCGGGTCGTGCTGGGGTGTGGTCGTGCTGGGGTATGGTCGTGCTGGGGTGGGGTCGTGCTGGGGTGGGGTCGTGCTGGGGGGTGGTCGTGCTGGGGTGTGGTCGTGCTGGGGGGGTGGTCGTGCTGGGGGGTGGTTGTGCTGGGGCGTGGTCGTGCTGGGGCGTGGTCGTGCTGGGGCGTGGTCGTGCTGGGGTGTGGTCGTGCTGGGGTGTGGTCGTGCTGTGGTGAGGTCGTGCTGGGGTGTGGTCGTGCTGGGGTGTGGTCGTGCTGGGGTGTGGTCGTGCTGGGGTGTGGTCGTGCTGGGGTGTGGTCGTGCTGGGGGGTGGTCGTGCTGGGGCGTGGTCGTGCTGGGGTGTGGTCGTGCTGGGATGTGGTCGTGCTGAGGTGGCCCGCACCCTGTGATGTATCGATCGGGATTTCAAAAACAAGCGTTTCGCCTGAGACATCCTCAAATTTTAATCCGCCGGCCTCCTTCGACCTCGATATTTATCAAGGAAAGAATCCGCCGGCCTCCTTCAAGTTGGGCACGGGGGACTATGTTTACATACTAAAAGAGCACCCTGGGCCTGAGCCCTTTCCGGGAAAAAAAGCGTTTCGCTTGAGACATCCCCAACAAATTCTGACAAACAAACGTTTCGCCCGAGACATCCTCAAACAAAAATCGCCGGCCCTACGCGACTCCGTGATTTATCGCAAAATAAGTTCGCCGGCCCTACAGCCGTCAGAACCAGGGGTAAACAACCTAAAAGAGAACCCTGGGCCCCAGCGCTTTCCAGGAAAAACAAACGAATTAGTAGAAACATCCACGAAATTCCTGCGCGCGGGACGCGGCACGCGCGAGACATCCTCGGAATTCCTGCGCGCGGGACGCTTTTCCGCGTCGCGGTCGGGGCTACAGACCCTGTTTTTGTTTGTTCAATGATTCTGTCAAAAATGCCCCGCAACTTTTTTTTGCAAAGGAAAGCGGTTGTCTGCGGACCCCGTTATTTATCGAGGATCCGAGATGGGGGGGCAAACTTTCCTCGAGCGGGCACGCGTGAAAGGCATTTTTTTCACGCCGAATGGAACCTTACCGCGGTTTTTATCGAGCGGAAATCCGCTGGCCTCCTTCAAGTCAAAACCGGGGGTAAACCATCTAAAAGAGAACCCTTCAGGGCGGAGCCCTTTCCGGGAAAAAACTATAAGCGGAGCGAGGACAGGTAGGACGACCTGGAGGATGAGGGGGACGCCTCGGTCGCGTCGCGACCGTCGCGGGGCAGGACCTGTCCATTGCCCCTCTCTCGCTCTGTCGCAGGAGGAGGAGGAGGAGGAGGAGGACCGCGTCCGTCAAGCAGACTGAAGATACGGGTCACGGAGGCGTTGGGGCAGGTGTGCCTGCCCCGCTCACGTGCGCCCACGGTCATAGCCAAACGGCTTTCAGACTCGGCCAACACTCTGGCCAATTCGGGCGTAAACATGAGCGACCCACAAGCCCGGAAAGGAATATAGAAATGTAAGACATTGCAACGTTTCACAGACACCTGATTGGGCGACGGGCAAATGCAGTGATGAGTGTATCGATCTTAATGTACCGTGCCAAGAGCTGTGCTGTGCTGCGTCGTGCTGAATTGCGATGTGCCATGCCGCGATTATGCTCTATATAGCGTTGTGGATCGAGTCCTCCTTTGCATCCGAATCCTGACCGATCTGATCTGGGTCGTAAGCTCGAGCTGCCTGAGCACATAGTAGCTGCCCTAGAGCTGATTGGCAAGGAGACATGCTTGGAGGACGCGCCGGGGAACGTCCCAAGGGACGCGCCAGGCGACGTGCCAGTGGACGTGCCATGGGGACGCACCGCGGGACGTGCCAAGGGACGCGCTACGGAGCGTGCCAATGGACGTGCCACGGGACGCGCCAGGGGACGCGCCGCGCGACGTGCCAAGGGGACTCGCCACAGGACGCGCCACGGAACGTGCTAAGGAACGTGACAAGTTGCAATGCTGAATGTATCGATCTTGATCTACCGTGCCGAGGGCTGTGCTGTGCTGCGCCGTGCTGAACTGCGATGTGCCATGCAGCGATTGTGCTCTACAGCGTTGTGGATCGAGTCCTCCTTTGCGTCCGAGTCCTGACCGAATCGATCTGGATCTTAAGCTCGAGCTTCCTGAGCACATAGCAGCTGCCCCAGAGCTAATTGACAAGGGACATGCCAGGAGGACGCGCCGCGGACCGTCCCAAGGGACGCGCCAGGCGACGTCCCATGGGAACGCACTGCGGGACGTGCCAAGGGGACGCGCTACGGAACGTGCCAATGGACGTGCCACGGGACGCGCTCCCAGGGCCACGATCCCTCGTAAATTACACTGCGTCCGCGCTCCCAGGGCCACGATCCCTCGTAAATTACATAGGGGGTCGCGCTCCCAGGGCCCCGACCCCTTGTAAATTACGCTGCGTCCGCGCTCCCAGGGCCACGATCCCTCGTAAATTACGCTGCGTCCGAGCCCCCAAGGCCCCGATCCTTCGTATTCTACGCTGCG